TCCATGCTCTTTGGTTCTGTCCACCAGTTCAGAAGTTTTGGCGCGAGATATGTGAAGACTTATCAAAGTCTCTGAAATGTAACATTCCAACTTCCCCTTAGTGTGTTTGTTGGGCAGCTTAGATAATGTCACTTCAGAAAAGAATATCGCCCATATGTCTGTGAAGGTTCTCAGTCATCCAGGTCATCGTAGTCAAAGGAGCTTGCAAAGAAAAGCGTCTGGACTTCTTTAAGTTGCTTGAAGACGTTTCACCTCTCATCCGAGAAGCTTCTTCAGTTCTAAGGTCAAATGGTGGAGAGTCCCAGATATAAACCTAGTGGGAGTTTCCCCCCACAGAGGGACAAAAGGACTCCCAAAAGGACTTAAAGAAGTCCAGACGCTTTTCTTTCCAAGCTCCTTTGACTATCGCCCATATGGTTTTCACTGCCCTATGCATAGCCAAGAAAACAGTCCTCATGAACTGGAAAAATAAAAATAATCTTAATTCTAACCAATATAGAAATTATCTATTAGATTACATTAGTCTTGATACAGCCTCTGCCACCACATCAGATCAATTGCTCTGGGCTCCTTTGATCAGCTCCATCACCTAGTGGGGGTGGGAGTGGGGGGGGGGGGGGGGGGGGGTGCTCTGTCTCCGGGCAGGGCCCTGGCTGGGCTTGGTGTGTCGCCGGGGTTGTGGGCGGGTGGGTGTATGGGGGTTCAGCCCTGGCGCGGGGTGCCACCAGTGCATAGAGCCACCTGGGGGGCTCTTCAACTGGTGGGGGAGGCTGTTACATCTTGCAGGAGGTCTCCTTTCTTCAGGAACTCTCTGCAGGTGGGGGAGATATAGGAGAGGTGGAGGGAGATCTCAGCCTGGGCGTCTGTTGTCTTGTGTAGTCTGGGAGATGAGTGGATGGTGGGGTGGGTGCAGTTTTCTCTGTGGTGGGGTTGGGTGGACTGCCCCGGGCTCTGTGGGGCCGGGTGGTGCTGCTGAACTGGGCCCCGGTCCGGATGGGCCTGGGCCCCCTTTCCCTGGCGGGTCGCGGAGTATGGGGGTGCCTACTGGGGTCAGTGGGGGAGCTGGCCCCAGGGAGGGGCCACTTGCCCCCCCCTTCCTTCCCTCCCCATCTCCAGCTGCCTCCCTCTTCCCGCTCCACCACAACCACCCACACATGCAGGACCTTGGAGTAGGGGTATGTCACCAGGGTGCAGGGGAGGCATCCCCCCCCTCTGTCCCCTTCTAGCTGCCTGTGCCTCAATGTTATCCCACAACTTAGACATTCACATTACTCACACTCTCATTACACATACATATAGGATCTTGGGGGTGGGCACGCTACACGGCATCCAAAGTACCATCAGGGTGTATACCTCACCCGTGGCATCGTTGCTCACCTCTCAATTTTAAATACACGTAGACATTGAGGGCTAGCAGGAGGGACTATGCGCTTACCTGCTGCTCTCTGGCAGGTAGCTCCATGCCCTCCTGGGTTTTAATTGCACCTTAGAACACACATGCATCAACACTACAATGAGCGGGTGGAGGGAGGTTTGGAGTCTTCTCTCACCCCCGTTCTCTGCGACCTGCTGGAGCGGGGGGGCTAAGAGGAGGAGTTGGCCGTCCGACTGCGGTCTGGAGTGTGGGGCCTCCCTGCTGCTGCGGAGTCGGGGCGGTCTGCCTCTCCCCACCGCAGGGAAAAGGGTAACACCACATGGGTGTGGGTGCAGTTTCCCCCTCCAGGGGCAAGGGTACCTAGACCCGGTTTGTAGAGTACGCTTGGGGAGTGTGATCGTGTGTACAGCGTCTCTTTATGTCTGTCTCCACGTTGGTTGAGTGTGGAGTAAGTGCATATGAGAGCATGAGGGTGGGAATGGATGTTTGTGTCTGTGTGTGCCTGTATGTCTGTGTCTGTATGTCAGGTTGGGTGTCAGACGCCACCTCTCTGGGGACACCTCAGGCCCTCCAAACCTTGGAGGGCCTATCTCCCCCTACCACCACTTCCCCTGCCGGTGGCAGACGCCCTCAGACATCGGTGCGTTGGTGGGTCTTTGTGTCCAGGGAAGGTACCCACCGGCTCACTCCTTGGTGGCTGCTTATCGTGGCCTGGAACCTGGGGCTCGCTCGGGCCACTTCGGGGGTGGGGTGCCCTCGGCTTCTCGGCCTGGGGCTCGGTCACTCTGGCACAGCTGGCACTGCAACTCCCCCTGGCTTCTTCTCCGCGGCTGCTGAGTGAGCTCTCATCTGGGACTCTCCTCAGCTCTTTCTGGGACAGTGGCGCGGCTGCCCCTCTGTTGGTCTTCCTTGGTCTCTTGTGTTCTGGGGGCCTCTGGATGTCTGGAGTTTTGATCTCCTCCAAACCTGCTTCATGCCCTGGAGGACGGGGCTGTGGCCCCCCCCACACCCTCTAGCAGATCATTACATGGAGGAACCTTTTAAAAACAAGCGCGTCCATGCTCACAGGTGTACACACGGGTGATCACACCCACAAACTACACCCTTTTTGGCTCCTACCTCAAAGCACACTGTGACAATAATTCTGATGGCAAAAGAACCAAACGGGACAGGCGGAAAATTTTTTTTTAAATAAATTCTGTTTTCATGGATGCATGGATGTTAAACTTAATTGTTACACCTGGTAAAGCAGCAACGCTGATCGTTTTATTAAAGATGAAAGAATTTAGACAGTTTTTAACTCTCAGTGTTCGTTTGACTTTGGGACCTGAAGTGACAGAGTTTAGGACCCAGATTCCTCCGCGAGGCTCCTGACTACAGTAGCCGTAATGCTCCGACAGTCCATGAAGCGGTGCGGCTTCATAGCTCACCAAAGTGGTACTAAAACATTTTTGGACAGATTTCTGAGCGCCGTGTACCACATAAAATCGGTTCGAGGTCAGTAAGCACAACCAGAATTCATACATAAGGCACACTGTCGATTTTTGAGAAAATTAAAGGATTTTAAATGCGCCTTATAGTGCGGAAAATATGTTATACAGAAGAAAAGAATATATTGCGCTATATATCGCTATCGCACATGCTTCAAATTATACCACGATATGGATTTTAGGCCATTTCACCCAGCTCTAGGTGAGATCCAAAACCTGCAGGTCACCGGCCCTTGAGGCCTGGAGTTGCCCATCCCTGCACTGCAGCCTTGGGGCTATCACAGGCATGTCAGACTCAAGTCTCACAGAGCAGTGTTCTTTTGGTTGGAAGAGAAGAAGTCCTTTTAACTATAGTTTAACTTGATTTTCTGTAACAGATAATTCAATTTTTGTAACTGAATGAACATAAACCTGTTTCAACAGCAAAAGCTCTGGTTGGCATACATCAGGGGTGTCCAACTCCAGGCCTCGAGGGCCGGTGTCCTGCAAGTTTTAGATATCAGTGATACCCGATTCAAATGATTAGTTCATTAGCAGGACTCTGGAGAACTTCATGACATGTTGAGGAGGTCATTTAGCCATTCAAATCAGCTGTGTTGGATCAAGGACACATCTAAAACCTGCAGGACACCGGCCCTCGAGGCCTGGAGTTGGACACCTGTGCAATAATGTCTTGAACTAATATACCAAGAAAAAATGTTCACCTTTTATAGTTGTAGCAATCAACTGCAGGTGCAAAGCAAACAATAAAGGAAACAGAATTAAGCTGTAACTTTAATCTCTGCAATGAGGACAATGGGCCTTCTGCAATAATGAGTCAGGCTGGTTAAGAGGCCACCGAAGCATGTGTGGTATCTGGATCTGCTCAGGCATTCTGCCCTGCAGCAACACCGTTGGAATGACTAATGTAATAAAATTCACTATGTGCCCATCGAATCTTCTTTGACAAACATGTAGTGTGTGGTAATCATTGCTGTGATTAGAGATAAAGTTCATGAGGAAGAATGTCAACCTGCTCTGCAGCTTTGTCCTCGTCATTAAAAGCATTCCAAGTGTCAGCGCACCACTTTTGTTTTTAAACAAATGGTACTGTTTTCCACCTTAGATGATTATGTCTCTTCAAATAGGGGCCATTTAAAGGGTTTGCATATAATTTAAAAAAAAAAAAAAAATCCTAGTTACTAATAACATTTGTAATGAAGAGAAAACCTCAGTAGGCACATTAATGAAAGCCACATGTACTGGAGTGTTGCTTTACTGCAGTAAAGACATCATGCAGTATGCACCCGCAAGAGTCAGTGCTACACGCTGTGCAGTCTATGTTAATGGAAGAACACGCCAAAACGCTGTCAACAGCATAATCCAAGGATCTCTACAATAAAACTAAACATTTCAAAGTGCTGTGTGATACGATGACATGATTACATCTTACATATATACGGATTTAAACTCAAATGTGAAAAGATGGACAAACACAATGAAGTCATTTTGAGTGGAGTGCCAAGTTAATTTTTCAGTCCCGAGAGTTGATGCAAAGTGGCATATATGTTTTTATTGTACTGGAAGGAAAAAAAAAAGTAAATCATACATAAACTGCTCTCACATACAGACAAATGAAAACCACCAGCAAAATCACCAACAATGGGCTTAGGCAGGGGCGTACAACTCCAGGCCGCGAGGGCCGTGCCATGCAGGTTTTAGATCTCACCCTGGGTCAGCACACCTGAATAGTTCATTAGCAGGCCTCTGCAGAACTTCAGGACATGTTGAGGAGGTCATTTAGCCGTTTAAATCAGCTGGACACGTCTAAAACCTGCAGGACAGCGGCCCTCGAAGCCTGGAGTTGGACACCCCTGAGCTAGAGACATGGTTCAAGGGTTCCTCTATACAAAAAGACACACTTAAGACAAAGTTTGACCATTCACAGCTAATGTTACACTGCTAACCTGTGCAGTGTGAGTGTACCTGAGCAGCCAGCAGTTTTAATGCCACATTCCTCAGCTTGCGTGTTGTGCATTTCAGCACATACAAAACTACGCTTGCCACAATTTTTAAAAGCATGTCACCTTAATATGTGACGTGCTTGTAGTGCTGAAGGCAGGTAAGAGTAAAGAAGGGGAGGCATGTCAGAAAACTCCAGACTACACAGAGGGAGACGCTTTCTTTATTTAAAACTCTACAGTAAATACAGGTACATACACGGTATGTTTAAAAGCCTCGCTCCGCCGAGCATTCAGCACCGAGTGAAACATGCAGTCGTGTGCTGACGTTCAGCTGGCCAGCACATTGTCTTTAACTGGAGACATGGGCTCTTTTTTCTGACAGCCAGTCATCTTCTGGGCTTCTCTGAAAACACAAGAGTAGAAGAGTTTACAGCTCTTCAATTAAATAATACTGTAGTCATCACAGGCATACCATGTCTATGTTGCTGAGAAGCTATGAGCTACAAATGCTCCCAGTTTCCTTTTGACAGCATCTTTTAACAATGTGAACAATGTGACCTCAGAAATATTCTCTGAGTAACAACAGGAGGAAAAGCTGGAATAGTTACTGGTGCTGCTCGACACCTTAAAAACCTTGGATGGCTTTGAAGCGACTGAATCATTTCTGACAAACTGTTTGTTAATTAACTTTTGATTTGACAGAACAAGATAAACCTGGTAACAATGGAGGTAGATAACATGCTCGAAGTGTACTGAAAGCAGTGTTTGGTTAAAAGGAGCCTACAGTTTTCTTTGAGTAGTCAGTAAGGCCAGAAAAGGTCTACAAAGACAAAAAGCGTCTGTTTGGATTTCATTTGTAACACTAACCACACTTGTTGGCTGTTTCTGGCTCACTGCAGCAGTGGTTCAACTCCAGTTCACACTTTTACCTGACTTACATTTTTTTTATTTGATTTGTTTTATTGCATTTATGGCATGTTGCTCTTATTCCATTGCGTTTCCTCATTTTTGCTGCTGTAACTTGTCACTGTCCACTTTCTGCTGTCCCACGTGTGGGTCTAATTAAAGTGTATCTCACATCATGGCTCCTGTGCTGATTTCAGGCTTTGAGTTAATAAGCACCGCTCAGTACAAAAGATAAAATAACAATTGTATATATTGAATCTTTAAAGCTAACGTGGATTTTCTGGAAGGTCAGTACTACCAGCTTGTGTTTTACATGCTTAAGCTCAGAACCATTGATGGCCGTGGTGATGGACTATGATTGTTGTGACTTCGACACTGAAGTATTTCTCCTAATTACTTTTTAAAGCTGAAGTTCCTCCAGAGGCTGCTGATGGTGGCCTGGACACCAGGGTTGTTTTCATTATTCACTGAGGGGAATTTCTTGCCCAGATTCAAAGACCTTTTCCTCAGTCCGCTGACTCTCGCTGGACCCAGTGTTTGCACTCTTGCCGTTTGACTCTGGCTGCTGGTCTTTGGTTTTGGCAGACCTGAAACCTGGAAAGAGAGACCATGTGCATGAAGAGACAGAAAACAAAGGTGAAGAGGTAGGGGCTTCTTTTTGGTTTAAAACATGGCGTCCTAATATGTAAGGAAACTGCAGTTACACATGTCATGGCAACACTGCCTTTGTTTCCCCATCTGTGAGATTCATGCTGTCCATGTTTTCACAGACAATATGAAAGACTGATGACAACAAGAATAGCGTTGGAGCAAACCAGTCATTGGACTGCAACATAGTTCAGAGCCATTTCAGGTGACAACACCTGGTGACTGACATAATGAATCAGTCAATGTCGAGCTCAGAGCGGAGAGGATTATTCTGCACAGTTCAGGTTTTCATGCACACTGAAATCCCAGTTAGAGTTTTGAGCATTTTTACAGTCATTCTTTCATTATGTAAGAGCAAAGACCGTGGTAATGTCTTGGATCAATACGATTTAGAAATAGTAAAGAGTAGAATAAAATCTATAAACTGTGCGTGTGGGCATGGATGCAGCTGTCAGACCGGCAGGCAGTCCAGAAACATTTACTGTACACCACTGTATCAACCACTGTTGAAAGTCACGTGGTCTGTCAATCTCTATTATGGTTTCATCTGACTGTAGCAGTTTCCTTCAAGCCTTCTCTGAATCGTTTAGATATTCACTGTGTGCCAACAACTGTGTTGTGGTCCCAGCTCCCTTCAGGTTAACAAGCTCCTTAACAACATTGTAGTCTAGGTTTTGATTGGCCCATCACCGTTCTCATGATCATCTTCAGCCTGTGAGGAAAGACCTTCCACACTGAGGGCCACTAATGGTGAGATTGTTTCTGTGGACAGTTGTGCTGTATATACATGCCACAAGCTGAGATCATGCAATGTGTGTGAGCCAGACTTCCTGCTGGGTTGTAATCAAGCGCTTATGTCACTCAATGATATGCAACTTATTTCCCCTTCTGTAACTGACCAGTCAAAAGCTCCAGGTGTTACAGAAGAATGCAAACCAAATGGAAGACCAATTCCTCGGTCCAAATAAATAATGTAGGTATTAATACAAAATAAAACCTAGAAGAAAAATCGATACCTTATCACTTTTTTGTTGTTGCATGTAGGGCTGGGCCATATCACACCTTTTATGGTAATACCGCCTTTGTTTTCATACGCACATGGCAGAAAAAGCATGGCGGAGAATGAGAAGAGTGAAAGCGGATCGTTGAATGAAACCATGAACCTGAACTGGTTTGTAAAATGCTGCAGCTTCACTGGTGTGGAACTGGTTTAGCTTTCGTCCGTCAGATACACAACAAAGCACTATTTTTGGTAGCGCATGCTAGCGGGCCGTCGTTATTACCGTGTTGTTTGGAAAATACGGCGCACTTAAAATCAATCCTTTGATTTTTCTGACAGTCGACAGAGCCCCTTATAATCCCGTGTGCCTTATGTATGAACTCTGGTTGTGTTTACTGACCTCGAGACGATTTTATGTGCACGGCGCTCGAAAATCTGTCAAATGTTTCAGTACGACTTTGCTGAGCTACGAAGCCGCACCGCTTGATGGATTGTCGGAGCATTATGGCTATCGTAGGCGGAGCCTCGCGGAGTGATACGTACTGTGCTTCAACATAATGTTACCGTACTGTGTGTGTATAACCTCTTTAAGTTCTGTGGATATTATACATGGTTATGCTGAGGATGTGTCGGCCAGTTTCCACTGAAAACGCCTTTTGGTTAAACTGTCAGCGAGGAATTTGCATTTGCACTTTAAATGTTTATATAACTTTAATGCAGATAAAAAACAGCTGCTTGTTTCAGTGAAAATACATTGATGTTTTTTGCACTAATAAAGTTGAGGAGTTGTAAACTATTTTGTCTCGTGCCAATTATATCCTCAGTTATATCGTTATCGCAAATTTTCAAATGTATATGGTGATAAATATTTTTGGTCATATTGCCCTGCTCTAGTTGCATGGATTCATTTGAATTCTCGGGGAATCCCACAAACAGATGAACAAAAAATGAAACCGTGCTGCCCCTCACCCTCCTAGTAGATGTAAGTATGGTACGAATTTCAAAATCCTACGTCACCCCGGTCTCAATGCAGTCACGTTTTCAGAAAACCTCTGATTTTGACCTGAGGTCACGGTCAGTGGGATTCAAACTCGATCGAGATTTTTCGCAGATGCACCTTTGGTATGAAAGTCCGACATTAGGTTCTTGTCGAGTTGTTGCATTCACAAGATTGTCAGAAAAAATGGATTTGTCTGTGACCTTTGGGCTGTTGCATCTTTGGTATAACTGTGTCTTATTGCTACGGGACAAGCTGTATGGGACAATGCAAAGCACGCACATTGCATTGTGCAGATGAACCGTCAACTGTGCAAGAATGGCACAGTTTCAGATTATACAGATTTGTGGTGGTAACTTCCTTTGTGGAAACATGAGGCAGTTTAGTGTAGTACTCTGTGTTTGACTTTAAATAGCCAAAACCTCTCCACAAATCCTTCAGACGTGTGTGTTTAACAGTCTTCTCAGCAGTTAGCTTTGGGCTGTCTTATTTCGTAAGACATTTGTTTCATCTTCTCTTGTATCTCACACACTCCTAATGTACTGGTGTGTATGGCTGACTCTCATTGTTATTGGCCTTTTGTGCCATCTGTGAAAACATTCACCGACTTCAATCAACACTTTGTTGTCACCAACAAACAACAATTTAAACATTTTATCGCCCAGTTTATAACAAACGTGCCAATCGACACATAAGAAAAACCCTGTGTTGGACGGTGTTGAACAAACTAAGAGTGCATTCAGCTGTGATTAAACACAAAGCCTGCACAACGCTGGATTCTGGTTCAAACTCACCTTAGTTCTCGGCATGCCAGGTTTCACCTCTGCTTCTGCTGAGTGTGTGGGACTGTGCTCTATCTCTGAATCTTTGCTTGAATTACTTTCCTAAGGAAGCAGACAAAGTCAGACACAGAAAAACAAAGCTGTGAAACCAGAAAAAACCTTTCTATGCAACTACTCAACAGAAATGAAACTGTGATGACGCTGACCCAACCACAAGGGACAAACAGCATTTGTAAAACGGGGAGATTTACACCAACTTACCGAAGCAGCATCCTCCTGGTAGGAGGAGGAGAAGCTGTAGGTGGGGGCTTCCTCTTTATGGTAGGAAGTGAGGTAGGGCTGTGACTGGGAGAAATAAGCGCTGTCCTGGGAGGGAGGGGAGTCTGAGAGCTCATCCTTCTCTGATTTTCTGTCCTGGGAGAAGGGCTCTGGTAGAACCGAATCTCCAGAGGGTCTGGTGACCTTTGGTGGAGATGAACAGCTTTCCTTTTTATACTGGAACTGCTGCAGCGCAGACAAGCTTGAGGTGGACAATGGCGTGCTAGATTGTTCAGTTGACGGGCCGTCTGACCAGCGAAATAGGCTGAGGCCACGACTGGCTGAACTGGTGGTACTGGGTGATGGAGATGGCTTGGTGGTTTCCAGAGACGGGCCATCTGAACTCTCAGCGTCACAGTTCTGAATGCTGGGTGAGGACTTCTGAGTGGCTGTGGAACTGCTGAAGAATCTACACGTGGGAAGACGGTCAGGTTTAAATAACTGCACATTAAAAGTGAGGGGGATGGTGAACAAATATTATTGGAGCATTTTTTGGTTGAGTTACAGTGCTTGGTTTAAAGCAATATTTAAAAGCTTTAGGACAGGGTGCCAATTTCATTTGTCTCAAATTTCAAAAGGACCAAAATGACTCAAACATTATTAAGTATCACCTTCATCACACTGAATGTGTCAAGCACATATTTTATTCAGTTCATAGTTTATTTCTGAGCTTCAAAATAGATTTTCTTTCCACTAATTTGAGGCATTAATCAGAAGCAAGAGCTGCAGCATCATATTATTATCCTACTTCCTTTTTGCTGTCTTGAATAATAACATGTTCTGATGAATTTTAGTATCTCACAGAACTTTCAGCCTACCCTGATATGAACCAAGTCTCTACCTTACCGATTCTGTCACTGACAAAGAGAGGAATTATTTTCCACACATCTGTGTTCAATAAGGGTCCAATGTTGTGCTTCTACCTTCATTTATCTACAACTAAAATCCATGTCAGCCGAGTCCCTCTACTGGCCTGTGTGATTAAACTCACAGCCTACATCTCACTTGTGCAAAAGTCTAATAATATCCTATTTTGTAACTGAAAAGAAACACACTGCTGACATAGCATTATCACATTTGGTTATGACTTCATAACCTGTTAGGATGAAGATCTGCAGAGACACAAGTGTTATCAGCAGTGCTGCCCTGGTGTTGTGTCAAAGAGTCAAGACCAACTCTTAATACAACAGAATATACATTGCAATCAATACACACGTGTGTGTGTATATATATAGCATTTCTAGCTGGACTTCAGGAGGCCCCTGCCAGGACCAAGCATCAGTGTCTTAATGCCTCCATGACCTGACCAAAGAGCTGTGTGGTGTGTGCTGGGCAGCAGGAAGCAGCTGGAAAACTACGTGTACTAAGAATTAGGGGTGGGGGGAAAAATCGATACTGTGTAGTATCGTGATATTTTGTTTGCTAATAATGTATCGATGGGACAGCAGAAATCGATATTTTGTTACAAAAAAGGTTTTGCTCTGACTTCAGAGCATGTTGATCCTTTTTCTGAGCAAGAATCCTGACGCTGTCCAAATGTGTTTAACTGTTTTTTATGGCAGCAATAAACATGACAGTTTACTGATTTTAATTTAAGACATGTTTTATTTTAATTAAGTTTAAAACTTTTATTTAATGCAAAATTATATTTTGTTTTAATTTACTTTCAAATTCTTCAGTTGCTGCAGGGGCTGCATAGTTTTCATATTGCATAGTTCAGAATAGCTGTAATTGTACCAGATGGTTTCAGTTAAGTTGGACTAGACTGTAATACAAACCGTTCAGTTTGTCAACAATAAAACTGAAATGAGAGAAAGACTGAGTGCGAGACTTTGTTATTAGATAAATAAATATTGATAAAGTTTACCTTTATGGACAGAATCTGAATATCGCAAAATATTTTTAAAAATTGCAATAATATCGTATCGTGCGTTAAGTATTGTGATAATATCGTATCGTGGGATGTTTGGTGATTCCCACCTCTAGTAAAAATGTTGGACAACACTGCAAATAAACATTGTTCAGTCTGTGCATCGAGTCCTTTCAGTTAGTGTCAGAATCGGGCTAGTGTTACCTGCTGCGTGTGACCTGACCATCCTCCTCAGCTTCCTGGTTCCTCCTCTGCAGGACAGTGGCAAATATGTTGCGTGACCGGGGCAGGCTTGTGACTGTGGGCTTGTCTGCTGGCTGGTCTGACCTGGAGCGCTTTGGGCTGGATGAAGAGTACTCCTGCAGCACATCCTGGTCCGATATACTTGAGTCTACGAGAGTACAGATAACAAAATAAAATTAAAAAAAAACAAAAAACACAAATAAAATCTTGTGAAGCTGCAACCATTAAATGATGACCCATTGTTTAATTTCCTCTTTTGTATGTTTTTGTCCTTCTCTGAATCTAAATTTCAAGAAGTCACAACTACTCTGAGTTCAACATGCACCGGCTGCTAATTTTCCTGATTTGCATTTTTCTTGTTAAGCCGTACATCTAGCTTCCCACCTCTCTGAAAGCCATTGTTAATTCTACCTCTATCTAGAAAGGGCGGATAATATTTTATCTAGGTCTGTGTACTAGTTTCCTAGTGGATGTTGAAATCTGCCAAACTAAACCAACTTCAGGCTTCGTGTCAACAAAACTGTCCAAACAAATCAATTACCTGCAAAATAAATGTACAACATTAACATGGATATCAGCAAAGCTGCACGGTTTAATGTAGCTCAATAGTGTAATGTTTAGTATTTCTACATGAAAATATCTTCGTGCTAATTGTTTCAGCTATGCTTCACATACTGAAACACGGTAAATAAACAGAGGCATGAAACGTAGATACAGAACAGATTTGTACTTCGTTACATTCCACTACACAACATAAGCACAGCAGGACGATCTCACCCTCTCCGGGCCTCTTCACCTGCAGCTCTCTGCAGGGTATCCTCAGGCCATCCAGGTTGATGACTCTCTTCTTCCCCCTGGTGGAGGGAGGCCTGTCTGGAGAGGTTGGGGGCCGGGCAGGTGCCGCGGTGGCTGGCGTAAAGCCTCTGCTCCATATACTCGGCCCTGTGGAGGCCGGTGAGTAGTTCCAGCTGTGACTGCGGCTTTTGCATTGCTGAAATGAGGTTTGGAAAGTTGTTCTATATTAAAAATAACACTTTATTTTAACACCTTTGACTGACCATGATCCAGTACCTGTGGAATAGGTTTGTCTGGGCTGAAGTCATCGATCCTCTCCATGCTGTTGATGTCAAGGTTTCCCAAGGCCATTTGCAAGCCCTTATCATCCCCTAAATGACTGAATTTAACATCAAGGACAAAATACTGGACAGGCCAAGGCAGGCAACTTACTCAAGTCACCTCGCTAAATCAAACACGAGTGGAGATAGGAGCAGATGTGCTACAGGACACGAGGATACAGTCCAGCATAGCTCAGCGTGACTGGGTCAATGTGCTCTGGGTATGGGTTGAGGGGCACGACCTTCCTCCTGACGGGATCAAAAACCAGCTGATAGAGAAAGGTGTTATTGGCTCTGACAAATCCCTCGATGTACTGCTCGGGAACGACGAGACTCATCTTCAGGTACTGGCCCATCTTTCTGATTACCTGACAGGAAGATGAGCAGTCGATCAGACGTGATCAAAATAACTGTCATTGTCACTAATTAAGAGCGTGTATAGAATAACAACTACGGCATCTTAGGGGTGGGGTGGACAGGGTTCATTTCATTTTCAATTCAATTTTGTTTATATATTTTATTTCTAACTCGCAAGAGTCAGAACAATTGCCTCGAGGCACTTTATAGTATAAGCTAAAGACGAAAAATGAAACCCCGGCAATCACACAACCTCCTTGAAGAGGCAAGCACTTAGCAGGAAGCAAAGACGTCCTTCTAACAGGAAGAAAGCTCTGCTCTCCGGCAGCCATGTGCCACAGCTACTTAGCTGTGAGGGACAAGAAAAGACAGCCGACATTTAACACGTGATTTTCTTATAAGTAGGATTATTGTATATACTGCAAATGACCAAGCAGACACCATGATCAATAAAATATCTAAATTGATGACTTCGTGGTTTTGGCCTGTCCTACCCTCAGTATATCAGGGTCTTTGGCAAGCTGCAGCAGCTTGCAGGCTTTGCCCAGACCGATGCCATGCAGAGAGGCAAGATAGTCACAGCCAGAGAGGATGCACATGTAGCGGAACTTTTCCTCAGTGAAAACATTCCCCAAGGATCGGCAGCGGCCGAGGTTGCTTTGGTCTATCTCCAGGCCATTGCCCTGCTTGTCCATCTTTAGAATAACCTGTGAATGAAAAGAAAAAAAAGAGACAGATTCATCTTTAACACAGTGCTGTTTGCTCCTGCTAATTAGAGATTACACTAGGTTTAAAATAAATTTATTCTTCACTGACATATGGTGTTGCATGCATGCAGCTGGAAATGCACCTCCTGAGTTTAGATACCTTTTTGCACCCAAATGCCAGCAAGTCAGAGTCCTCTGTGATGACCGCCTGGGCCAAACCAGATTTACTGAGGTAAGCCAGCTGAGCATCAGCTTCATACGGAGCCACAACACAGTCCACGCCTCTCGCCCTTGCAGCCTGGTCCAAGAACACACCAAAACAAGCCTTTCTTCACCTTTACATGACAATTTTTGTAAACGCATTTTAGTATTTTCTGCACATGCAAACAGTTTTAGACCACTAAGGTTTTTTTGGAGTGTTTATGCATAAACAAGCAAAGATGGAGACTTTTTGTGAGAGGATGACTCGGTCACTTTGTGATTGACTCGGTCACTTTGTGATACCTAACTTTCTCCACAGAAAGTATAGATTTTATTGCTAATTAAGCAACAAACCATTCATTTCCCATTTACAGAAGCACGTGCAGTACATAAGATAAGAACTTTATTTATCCCGAGGGAAATTCTTTTGTCATGCACATGCTCAGTGCAGCAAGAGAAACACAGGAATAAAGGCATACAACAACATACAATAAGAATTGTAGGATACAGCAGGATAGAGCAAATATGATATCAAAATAACGCAAAGTAACAATGTAACTATATCAGGTAAAAAATAAGTAGTAGGGTTGTTTGATATAACGATATATCGGATGATGACATGAAAACATCTATCGTTTGTTTCATGGTGTTTACGGTAATGTTTTCATGTTTTCATGGTTATATTCATTTCTTAAAGTTCTGTCGTTCTCTTATAGTTAAAATAACCGCACTGCGGACAGACAAGATTTTAGCTTTGTCGTTAGCAACAACGACAGTAACCCCAGCCTGGGGCTTCGCCGTCTGCTTGTTTTTTTCCCCCCCACATAAACCTTTCACAATAAAGCTGAAAATCCTGTTGAGGTTTTTCAAAATAAACTGAAGTGATAACAAATAGAAGGACCAGTCAAAACACATCGAGGACCTTATTCCTAAACGAGGGGCTACCTCATGGACGTGGTTTGGTTATGAGAAGTCTGACACGGACCAGAAAACTGCACTATGCAGATTAAGGCACAAACTGGTCCCCACCGCAGACTCAAGCACAACAACCTCTTCTACCACCTACGCAAGTATCACGTGACGGAGGACGGCGAGAGTTTACAGATGAGAAGCAAAAAGAGCTACACGACGCCCAGCTGAAAACACTTCACACAAGCCAAGTTCCCCGAGATTCACAGAATTTCACAGAAAATGTGAATTTGTTGCGATATATATTTGTTATAATGATATTGTTGTCAGGACGATAAATATCTTATATCAAGATTTTAAATCTTGGTCATATCGCACAGCCCTAGTAAGTAGAAACACCAGAAATAGATAAGAGGCACAAGAAAGAAAGAGGAAAGAAGCTTAAAATGCAGAGAGCATGGGCTCAAATGCTAATCCAGACAAAGACGGCGTCAAGTGAAAATGCATTTGTGTGAATGTGGGTTTAAGATTAAAGGCATGCATCAAACACCCCCGCTGTCACAGAACAAGTTAACACGATAGGTGACAGTGATTACCAGAAGCACTTCATACGTCGCGTGTGAGCGCTCATAGGTCGATCGAATAAGAGGAAGAACCCCACCTTAATCAGGTTATGAGCCATAGCCGGGGTGATGTTAACACAGCGGTTAAAACACTCTCTGGCCTCGGACAGTTTGCCCTCACGTAGCAGCTGTCTCCCTTTTTGTAGGTTGGTTTCTCTGCGTCTGAAAAGTACAGAAGTGAAATCAAACTGAGGGCATACAACGTGAGGTGGAAGGAAGTGACAGTCATGATTTGAAACCATACGATACAATGCTGTGGTGTCACTGTTAGCAGGAAAGAAAAAATTAGGACAGTCACAGGCACAGCTCAGCTCCCTCGTCAAGGATGTGGTTTTGGACATCTTTTGCTTCATGAAGTTAAAGTATTTGTTTGTGATGGGGATGTGTGCTCATTGCTCGGGAACCTTCACAGAAACTCTGAAAGTCTCCGTGTGGTCAACAAACACATTATTCCCATATCATGATCTAAACCAGGGGTCCCCAATCCCAGTCCACGAGGGCCGGTGTCCCTGCAGGTTTTAGATCTCACCCTGGGTCAACACACCTGAATCACATGATTAGTTCATTACCAGGCGTCTGGAGAACTTCAGGACATGTTGAGGAGATAATTTAGCCATTTAAATCAGCTGTGATGGATCAAGGACACATCTAAAACCTGCAGGGACACCGGCCCTCGTGGACTGGGATTGGGGACCCCTGATCGAAACCAATCACAAACAGTCAAGGGTGGAGTACGTTTGAAAGTGCAGGCGGATAGAGAGAGGTGAGCAGCCTAGGCCCAGAGGCGGATGTAGCTGTGGGGAAGGAGAAAAGATGAAAAGAACACTCGATAACCTTTTCATTAAGGCCTGATCCGTCTGAAATTCATGACACGGAGCCATCGACCTCTCAGCTTATGTCCAACACTGGTCCAGAGACTGCATCAGATAATGAGCCACATATGATGGACTGCGCCCACTGAGAGTAAAAGGGGGTAGTGTATACATTTGGAAGAGAGCGGCTTGTCCACTTTCCCCGGCTAAGATACAGTAAAGCTGACAACATGATGCACTGCATTTCCTGTGGTGAGTGTGGAGAGACCATGGCTGACAATACTGCATTTGTGACTGGTGCTAATAAGTTTCCAATTGAAACGCTGAAAAAGCACAGTGTATCCAGAAAACACATATGCTGCAATAAATGCACTGCCCAGTGTCCCCGCTCCCCACGGCCTTTCAGCAGCAAACAGGCCGTCAGGAGGCCGACATGATGATTACGGTTAACATTACCTACGATGTTTCCAAAGAAGATGTTCTGTTCACCAACTTCAAGTCTGAAATAATTCTTCACAAGAAAAATGGCTTGAACGTAAACCCACGTACAGTAATGATGTCGCGTGCGCCATGTTTATGGTGTCATTGCTGACACACTGGGAAAAAAGAAAGAAGAAGAAGAAAAAAGGGGGCAAAATTACAGGAGTTGGCCATCTGAGGGGCACGTGACTGCAATGGAGGAGAGTCCATAGATATCGAGCTGCTCAGGTACTGAGATGTTTGAAAACTGTGGGACACTTTGAGGTCCTTCCAATTTAGATTTAATTTTTATTTCATATATCTTGAGATGTTTAAGTTTACATTTCAACTCAGTGAAGCACTTCCAGCACAAGTAAAACTGCGGTGTTAAGCAACGCAGTTGAAAATTTTGTATAAACCCAAAGAAAAAATAAACCACAAAAAAAAAAAAAAACCAGGCGCACCAGTGCAACCGTGGCAAAAAGTTAGCCAACATGACGACTAAAGGCCGAGTTTTAGGAAAGAACCACGGTGTTGTGCCCACAGCTTTGAGCCACTCACTCAAACTGTCAGTCACGCAGTACTCCTTTCTAAATAATCATTCCTAGAAGCAATTATCACAAACGCATCAGGCATGCTTTTTTAGTGCAATTTGCTATAAATACCACACTACAACTAGGGCTGCCACGATTTGTCGACTATCAAAATCGTCGACGACTGATTTAATAGTCGACGCGTCGTTTGAAGCTTTGTAAGATCCTGAAAGACGCAGGAATCAGTAGCAGGATTTAAGAGTGTAATAACGGACTGAAACAGAAGATGGCAGCACTGCATGTACAAGGATGCCAGCTGCCGTTAAACCCCGAAGAAGAAGAAGAAGAAGAAGAAGAAGAAGCAGCAGCTGTGTCCCAGAATTCATAGCGCGGCCCAGCTCAGTTTCCAACAATGGCGGCAGCTAGTTAGTTTTAATATTACTCTTATTATTCTTTCTGGGTCACAAAATAAACGTTTAACATATTTTCAGCCGAGAATGTAGCTGTGTAAACCTCAAATATCTGCTCAGTTTATCAGGACACCACATATTTTCAAAAGCGCTCCGACGTTTTCGGAGACGTCTGTTACCCACTAGCTCGTTAGCTAGGCGGGGGCAAGGCTAACTAGAGCCGTGAGAACACCGGACTCCCGGCAAATCGTTTTCAAACCCACCGCTGTCTTTCGCTACTCAGGTTAAACATGATATATGAGTCACTTAGATAACTTAAAATGTTATTGTTTGGCTTTTTTCAGTGTTTTTTGTTCCTGAGTAAATCGGTTTGTCTGAGATTAAAGTTATAGTTTTTACACAGCTGAATAAACATCAAGCAGACAGCTGATTATCAGAAGTGTGAGATGCTGGAGAATATACTCCGGTGTCCTGTTATATTTTAGATAGCAAGGAGTTTATTAAACTTCACCGAAACAATCTGCAAATTTCATTAAAATTGAATAAACTATCATCTTGTCTTTATTTTTAGTTAGCACAAACACTTAAAGCTGAAAGCTAATGATAGTTATATAAGAGCAGATGCTGCTGGTGCAATAAGCTGTAGTTTTACGTCCAGTGGATGATGATCTGATTAGTCGACTAATCGCATAAATAATCGGTGACTAGTCGACTATCAAAATAATCGTTTGTGGCAGCCCTAACTACAACCCAAAAATCAGGTTTGCATGATAAATTTTGAACACATCCTTCCGTAAGAGAAACTCCTACATATGACTTAAGATCAGATGCAAAAATATCTCATGCAGTCACAAAACTGACGCTCTTTCGAGTGTCTTAAACATGAAAACATCATTTTGTGTTGCTCTCAGTAAGACTGCTCCTATGTGTTCTTTCTTCTTTAAAAGCCCAGCCTTTGTAATGAATCAGAATCAGAATACTTTATTGATCCCTGGGGGAAATTATTTTTTGTTACAGTGCTCCATTTTAAACCAACATTAAGACAAGACAGACAATACACTAACTAAGAATAGTACAATATATACATATATATACATACATAAGTCACTCAGAAGTGTACTGTTTTGGTTTCTTTCTATCTGGATGCATCGCAAATTCCTCAGAAACTATCAGGATCCCAAGAGCTGTGATTGTTCTCACTTTAGGTTAAACTTGTTCAAATGTATATGTTTACAGCGAGAAGCAAACAAAAGTAAATACTCACTCTCTGCGAGCCTTTTCCACCTCCTGTTTTGAAGGCAGATTGCGTCCATCAAACACCAGTATGGGCTTAACACTGAAGGTCAAGAGCATGTCCACAAATTTCATGCAGTACCACACATACCTGGATGGGGAAAATTCAACACCACTGTCAGTTCTAGACTTTAGGCCATTCCTAATCAGAAAACAGCCTCATTCAGAACACCTTTAGTTCACTTTGGTTTTATTTGCATTGTGCCAAATCATAACAACAGATAAAGACCCTACAACAACAGGGTCGTTTTAATTGATTGAAAATAACACAACTGCTTACTGGTCAGTCGGTTCTCCTTTAGCAAGTTTCTCAGCACACGAGAAAGCTCCTTTATGCAGCCAACAGTAGGTGTCCACAGCTACCGTCTGGCCTTTGTATTTTTTCACATTGACGGGCTCTGCTGCATCTTTGATGAACTGCAGCAGTCCAGAGATTCCCATTTTGAGCCAGTGATCGGTGTCACGCCGATTCTGAACATGAGAAATCATCATCAGTAAGGGATAAAGAACACCTTCAGAGAGGGTGCATCTAGCGTGGACACCTTCAACTAAAATGGACTTTGTGGACTAAATACAGGTTTAACAGCACTATGTCACAAATGGAGGTTTCTTCTGATGCATCAATTCCAAAATCCTGGGCCGATACGGATTTGCTTGTTGATAATTCTGTTTGCTTTCTTTACAGCGCTCCATTTTTCCATGACATTTTGACAGTGTAAGACTGACGGGACACTACAGATTAAAAAATAAAAAATAAAACAAAATCAGCCATCTGTCAGTGTCAGTCAACAGGCCCACTGGATTCTACCCATACTCAGCAGATATATCAATGCAACCAAAAATATCCTCCAAACCTACAGTGACTAATATTTTGCTACCTTCTATTTCACTTAAGAATTGTTTGAAGGCTTCAGATTTACTTTCCTTTTGCTAATGTTAAAGCCACATACACAGTAAACCGGATTTAGATCTAAATGCCACACGTTGTTTTATTTTTTTAAACTAGCTTTAGCTATAAAGTTGTCACACTTGTATCGTGTAAATATAAACGTATGCAGTGGTAAACAGCGTTCAGCGGCGTTAACACATTCCTATATTTACCTATCAGTTCATTCATGAGCACGTGTGAATTATTCATGTTTGTCTGATAATTTGCACGTGAGCTGCTCGATTCCCGCTCCGTAACAATAACAACGATAAGTCAGCGCAGACGTTTCTGCTTTGAATGCGCTCAACAGATGAAAATCACACTGGAAACGCCTTGTTATCGTATGTCGTTTAAAAGGTAGCTGGTCAGTTTCTTGGCTCTACAACTGATGTCAGTGTACATTTCTCCTCAGACGAGAACACGCAAAAGCAGTTTAACGTAATTCGACTAAAGGTTAAAAGTTAAACTTACCTTTTTCTCGAAATTAGCGACACCAACAGAGCCCTCGACGACAGAAAACTAGAGGGAGTTTGGTTTTAGCGCCAAAAGAAGTATTTCAGTAGGAGATATTGCTATTGGCTAGAGTCACTAAGAGGCAGGGAACGTAATAGAAAAGGGAGTGTGCTTCAAAACATCACCGGCGTGACGCTACGTCGTGTCCATAGGGCTGCTGTAACGACCCGTATCTCGTTGATGTGGGTGCAACTCAAATCTTCCACATTAGTCGCGGCTGTGGGAACACCACCAGAGATTCGACGACATGCCATTGGCTCCATGTTTCTGTCCCGTTACACTGTTTACCCGCCTCTTTGCGAAACGAAGTACGCCGGTACAGTGTGCTAACCTCCTGTAATACTGCAGTTCCTCCAAAGGGCCACTAGAGGCTGGATCCAAAAGTCCAACTGTAGAAAACAGTCATTGGCAAAAGCGAAGAAGACATGTTCAAATGCATCTGTGAATTTTGCTTTCTTTCTTAAACCAAAATGTATGTGTAAATTCATTTGCTATCTTAAGAATGAAATCTCCTGGTTAAATAAAGATAATAATAATAATAATAATATATCTGGTAGCAAAATATCTCCCATACCAAGCTGAAAAAGAATCACGTAAAAATGTGCACTGCAGGCAAGTGTGAGCAGATCACACTCGGCTGGATGTAGATGAGAGCCTATGATCTATGACCTGGCTTTAAATACCCTCAAAACACACTGAACTCTACTTTGCACAAAATACACTCAGGCTTTGCAGTACTTGGGGCACTGTTCATTTTTTTCAAATTAACAACATTTTGTTCTGATGGATTTTCGTAGCCCTAATATCATTAAGCACTTAACGACACAGTACAGTACGAACAGGATTTAAGGGGTATTAAGGGGGATATTTAACAGTTTGTACCCATCACATGTGTCTGCAGAGGAAAACGTTAGACTGAGAATATGGCGTACATTAACTTCATCAACAAAATACTCAAAAACAAAAAAGCAACATTTTATTAAAGGCTGTTGTCAAGTTCTGACGTTTAGCTGAAATTATAATTAATCTATAATTTGTTAAATTGACATAAATACTCCACCAGGCTTTAGAGTATAAAAGACCACGTGTGGTTCCTGAATTATTTTTGTGGATCCCCTTCCCTCCACCCCTGCATATATTCCGCACACTGAACTTAACAAAGATTTTCTGATAGTTTCCGACCATCATGATTAGACATGAATGCATCACAAGACGTGTACTCTTTTCTAGCATCATCTGCACTTCCTGCTTACGTCCAAGCGCACAACGTCGGAAAGAAAACAAGATGCGGTAGTTGAACTTCACTGAAGAGTTGTGACCAATGACAGCTTTATTAACGTGTCACTAAATGCAATTTCTGTGGAGCCAAGGCGTGTGGCAGTAATAGAAACTGAAACATGCAGTTCTCTCCCACCAACGGAGATTTCACGTTCGTGTCTTCGACCGAGGCTGAAGGTAGGCTATCGCTAGCAGAGCTACGCAGCTAGCAGGCCTGAAAAGAGCTAGCCTCGTACCTGCTCACGTCGTTTATTTTTTTGTCTCGAGTTAGATTAGATACCCAGGCGTAGATCCATCCACACTAAGAAATAGCACTTTGCTGTGGGCTGACTCTGCATTTCTGAGTAATTGGTACACAGTATTTCACAGGTAGACAGTCTGTCATTTAGCTTTGCTAAATAACTTCAGCACTGATACGTGGCTGGTGGAGAACGTAGCTGCCGAGTACCAAGTTTACTGGCTAAACCAGAAATTAAATGTTACTACTTAAACTGTGATGGAGTAAGTGACTGAGTCTCTCCTGGGTGAGGGTCTGGTTGCTGCTGTTATGATGCGGAGGGTTTTGTTTCCACGTCAAGGGAAAAGTCACTGCTTGTCAATACAGGCTTGCTGTAAGTGGTCACTTTTATCTGGGATGAAACATTTCACTCTCATCCAAATTCATCCGTCCACAGTGGTTACTGTGAATGGGTCACATGTTATGGCTTTCATAGTCACTATATGTCATCCGGGTTGAACACACATACGTGATTTTCGATCAGTGATTTAGGCCGCAATACCTTTTTGGATAAAAAGTAACGCAGTACGTTACTTTATTACTCAAAGGAGAAAATAATGTTATTTTATGTAACTCTATAAAATGGGTGGAGCACATTGTCTCATAATTGCCGTTGAACAATATAAACCTGAGGCTACAGTATTTAGGTATGAACACAAAGCTGAAAACGGCAAACCAAAATGAAAACCAGTACAAAGACGCTTCAAAGCCCCACAGTGATTCTGCTGTACAGAAACGTTACAGAAGGTAACAATGGAGGCTGTTTGTTGCCTGTTGAAGTTCAGGGTCTGGCTGCTTGGGGTCAGAGTTCACTCAGGTTCTTGACTTAGAGTTAGCTTGCTGTCTGATTAGCATAAAGCAGCTGTTTCTGTCCTGGATGCATCTTCCATTTTACCATCACGCTCTCACCCTTTTGTGCAATAAAAGTAAAATAAAAGTCCATATCCATGCTGTACACTGTGCTGGTATTTTCCTCCTCTGACATGCAAATTCCAATCAAGTAAGCAAGATCAATAGATAAACAGACTAACATTTCCAAGGAACTGAACTCCTGGGAACCGGTTCTCGATTCCTAGTCCCATCCCCTGTGTGTGTAACTGCACTGATTGGACAGGGGCTTGTTAACCATGCCAGGCGAGTGCGCTGGAATATCTTCCTTATAAAAAAAGAAAAAGAAAAAAGATTTAACCTTTGCCTGCATCGGTCTCACTCTTTATGTTTAGAGTGGCGCTGCCACTAATGTTTACTTTGACATCCTAATTTTAATTGGGACGATTATTGGTCAGCTTGGTAAGGCTGCATTGAGAGTGAGAACTGGTTATAGTGGACTTAAAGCTGTTTTGTCATACATCTTGCGGTGTGTATTTCTGGATTCATGCCAGTCTAAAAGCACACATTACACGATGTAAACAAATATGTCATCCTCAGAACTCAGCGGCACCATCAGCACTCCAGATGTTAAACTGAATATAGGCAGTGACAGTGGGAAGGACCCGTATGCCACCACCTTCCTGAGACAACGAGGCTACGGCTGGCTGCTGGAGGTGGAGGAAGAGGACAATGAAGAGAGCAAACCTCTTCTGTAAGTGCATGGTGGTTTTATTTTGCAGGAACAGCCATAGTGCTTTAAGTGTGTTGTATTATGACTCACATCAACTTGGCTAATCTTTACAATAAACTTATATAGTGGGTTATCTTTCCCCCCAAAAAAATGTCATCCAAGTCTGCACTGTGTAGACTTCTTTTAGATAACTGGGAGTACTTGTAGTGAAATGTTTCTGCTTTTTTATAATTGTACTGAGATGTTGAAACTGTAGGATTACTTACGGGGAACTTATTCTCTACCCGAACCCAGAGCAGTGTGACAGAGATGTTCCTGCTCTATGGAATAACACAGACATCAGAGTACACAATACAAGCATGCACTATTGGAACAAGATGTATATCAGAGGAATAAAACAATAGATCCCCTTTAAGGTGAAGGGCTGGACAGTTGTATTGTTCCACTGCTTCTGAACAGTTCAGTTCACCTTGTGCTGCTTGCTCAAAACACATGCACATCTGTAGATCCTGTTTTTGTGATCTTCACCATTGAAACTGACTGGGTTAGACTTGACTTTAACACCAGTGATGATCATGTCATCTTGTTGTGCTTCTTTTTGAACAGGGAGGAGCTGGACATTGATATAAAGGACATCTATTACAAGATTCGATGTGTGCTGATGCCAATGCCATCACTGGGTTACAACCGGCAGGTGGTTCGAGACAACCCAGACTTCTGGGGCCCTCTGGCTGTGGTGCTGCTCTTCTCCATGATCTCCATCTATGGACAGTTCAGGGTGAGGAGGACACAAGAAACACAGCTGTGTCGCTTCATTCAAACATGTTCAAACTACAGCAAGACCATCATCATCTGTCCTGCCTGGATGGCATTTGAAACCAATGTTTGTGGGTTAAACAGGAGTTGAAGTAGTGCTCATTATGTTACTGCTTTTCTTTTATGTAGCTTCATACTGAATCCAGAAAAGAACTAAAGCCCAAAATAGCATTGGCCGTATCAAACAGCACTTTGAGATCTGTGTGGATTGGCTGTGGGTTCCAGTCTCTGCTGGAGCCAGTAGCCTCCAGTAACTCAAAACCTTTACTTGTAATTAGGGCTCGGCGATATGGCCCAAAATCCACATTGCTGTAACGATATATATCACAACATATTCTTTTCTTCTGTATATATGTCTGAACTGAACAGTATAGAATGCCATTTAAGCATATTTATTGTGCAAAACTTTTTTTTTAAATGTTTAAATTGCAAAACTTTTCAAATAACTTTTAAGATCTTTTTCCAAATACCAATACACAAAATTCTATGTTGTTTAAAATAAAGTGGAAAATGTGCCTTTGGAACAGGCTTGGAAAAGATCGGTCTGCTGGTGTTAGAGCCACTTGACTGACTGGTGTTTGTGGAGGGCACAGTTTTTGGCTTTCCTTTTAAACCTTTGGTATGCAGACTTGGTATTCCATCTCTTTGCTATCAATGTCCCCGGCATAATTTGCTATTTTTCTGCTCAACATCTGACCGCTTAAACCCAAACCAGGTCCAAATGCGTTGCACCGGTCTTCTTTATGAGCACCGGTCGACCGTGGTTCGGGGGGTTGGGAAGCTCATCTTGTAACCGGAAGGTTGCCGGTTCGATCCCCAGCTCTGTCTGTCTTGGTCATTGTGTCCTTGGGCAAGACACTTTACCCTACTGGTGATGGCCAGAGGGGCTGCCCCAGGGCAGCTGTAGCTACAACTGTGGTTTGCCTCCACCAGTGTGTGAATGTGACAGTGAATGAATAGTGGAATTGTAAAGCGCTATATAAATGCAGTCCCCACGTGTAAGCTCCATGCTTGCAGCCACTGCGATGCTTTCAATCAAAACAGGTGCAGCTTGATGACATCATCAACATGCGGTAGAGCTGTATAGTCAAAATCTCTGCCGTTGGCCAAATTCATATCGTTTCTACCATATAACGTTTCTACCGCCCAGACTTGTAATAGCTAGGATTACTTCCTGAACAACAAAAGTAGCTCCAGTCCTATGGTGAGCAGTGGAAGCAGTGAGTCTGTGAAAATGAAGACGGATTGCACAGGTCTGCAAAAAATATTTATATATTTTTTCAGCTGCGTGGGATATTTTAGGTAAATTTGATGTTTGTAGGGTGCTGAATCCAAACATGATCTCCCTCCATCATGAACAGTTTTTTTGCAAAACACAAAGAATTTACATTAAGGTCGTGTCCAAATTCATGGGCTGATCCTCCTGAGGCCGCATTTGTAGACCGATTACGTCACAGCGACGCGCCGAAGGCTGTCCAAATGTGTAGACTCCTCCAAATGCAGCCGACAAACGCGTCCTCCTTTTCACCGCATTTGAAGGATGGGACGGGTGTGTCCTTCGTGGCCCACCATATCCCAGAATTCATAGCGTGGCCCAGCCAAACTCCAGTTTTCAGCAATGGCGGCTGCTACTAAGTTTTATTATTCTTTCTGGGTCACAAAATAAACTTTTAACATATTGTCAGGCGAGAAAGTAGCTGT